TTGTTTGAGATCCGAGGACAGCTTAGCAAGGTATCGCTGTCCTTTTTGATTCGTATGTTCTCATCATTTCACTGAATGTGAAGCCAAGCAAAAGCCTCTACGACAATGTCAACAAAGAGGAGTTAGACGAGTTAATGCTCAGTTCAGAAAGGATAGCCTATCAGAAAGTCAAGATGGGTTTTTTCAGTGTAGAATCTGCACCTGCCCTCCGCACCTCTGGGAAACTGACATATTGTTTCTTGTCTTTTAATGCATTAAAGGTAGGGAGCAACAGGATGACTGGGAGATTCTCCCATGGTTTAGAGACTTCTTTAATTGAAAATAATGACATAGAAAGACACAAAGGCACAGGGCTACATGCCTGTAATCTCAGCTATGTGGGAGAGGGAGGTAGGAGAACCCCAAATTCAAAGCCGGTCTCAAAAATAAAACAGGAACAAAAGGACTGTTCATGTCGACCACATGGTAGACGGCTTGTCTAGTAAGCAGGAGACCCTGGACTCTGTGTCTCTAGTAGTGTGTGTGTGTGTGTGTGTGTGTGTATGTGTATGTGTGAGAGAGAGACAGAGAGACAGAGACAGAGAAACAGAGAGACAGAGAGAACATATGAAAATTTTTCTACAGAAGAGGTTTAAGCACAGTGACTGATTATTTGTAGCAATCAAGTTAATCTTTCACCAGTGCCAGGGGCTCACGCCTGTAATCCTAGTTACTCGGAAGGCTGAGATCTGAAGATCATAGTTCAAAGCCATCCCAAACAGGGAAGTCTGTGAAACCCTTATCTCTAATTACCCACTGGAAAACCAAAAGTGGAGCTGCAGCTCAAAGTGGTAGAGTACTAGCTCGAGCGCCGAGGCCCTGAGTTCAAGCCCCACGACAGACAAAAAGAAAGAAAATCTCTCCTGTCTCTCTGCACAGGCCGTAACACACCTTGCACTTATATCTGATAGATCTATGTCAATAAATATAGATTATGAATCTACATCAATCACGTCTTAGATAGCTTCTCTACTGCCTCATTCTTAAGGCCATGATGTGTCGGTGCTCATCGGGCTTTGGCCTGGTGAAGAGAGATGATCAATGCACTTAGTTCTCCCGTTTAAGCCAAGAGATGACTGATGCTGTAGAGCTGAACTCCCCAGGATGGCTCCATGTCTTCAAAGTAGCAAATACACAGGCATTGTTTGCGGGCGATTACATTCTCTTTGTTGGTTCTCAGTGTGGAAGTCCTCCTGCATAGCTGACTCTCCTTGGCCTTCAGCTCTTCTCTCCCATATCTCTGTCAAGTGATCCCGATGCAGGCTTGAAGTCTGCCGGGGACAGTCTGCTCCTCCGTCTCTGACAGCCGTCAGACGCACCTTCCTCTCCTCAGGAACACTCTGTCTCTCTCTGCTGCACTCTCCAAGCGCCGAGGAGTTCTGCTTCCCTCCCAGCTTCTCAGGGCAGCTCTCCTGTTCCTGAGTTTTCTCCTCCTTGTCTATTTCCTTTGGTTTCAGTCAAGTCTGGCCCACACTGAAGAGAGGACTCTTGTCTCGGCTTTGGTGTGGGGGCCGGGGAGCTAGCCTTCTCTGAGGAGCTGGAGGCTCCCGCGCTTCACGCCTGGTCCAGCTCGGAGAGCAGCTGGAAACGGCGGCAGCTTGTGCTTTGAATCTGGTGAAATGTTGATATTCTCTGTTTTGTTGACTTGTCAGAGCATTCTTGCTCTGGGGTTGGAGCTCAGCCGGCACTCTGTCACTGAGCCGTGCCTCCAGCCCTATTGTTGCTTTTGCTGGTTGTTTTTAGCATCAGCTCTTACTTTCCACCCAGACACGCGGCGGAACTGTGATCTTTAGACTTCCCGTGGGTTGCTGGAATCGCCACTGCGGGCTCCATGGAGGGGATGTTTTGAGGACTTCTCTGCGCAGGTTGGACTGGAGGCGCGGTCCTCTGGATCTCGGGCTCCGACGTAATTGAGGGTGACAGGCATGCACCACTGTGCCCAGCTAGTGTCAGAAGGGGGTCTCACAAACTTTTCTCCCCAGGCTGGCCTCAGATTCTCCTTCTCCCACCTCCCAGGTAGCTGGGATTAGAGATGTGAGCCGCTGACGCGCAGCGGAAGTGGTAGTGGACCTAACTAGCTCTGATCTGATAAGAAAAGAGCAGAAAGTATTAACGCATGGTAACCTTTCAGAAATAGTTATTCTAATAATTAATTGTTAAACTATTAATAATTTAATTCAATTAATTTAATTCAAAATAAGATTCCATCAGGGTGATCTTCTAGTTCAAGGGGAGTTCTAATTCTAGCTATTGAAAAATGTTGGAGTGGACACAGTGGCTCACACCTATAATCCTAGCTACTCAGGGAGCCAAGATCTGAGAATCACAGCTCCAACGCAGCCTGGGCAGGAAAGCCTACAACCCAGTTATGTCCAATTAATCACCAGAAAAGCCAGAAGTGGAGCCATGTCTCAAATGGTAGAGCACCAGTCTTTACCACAAAAGCTCATGAACAGCCATGATTTTTTTTTAAAGCCATGTTATTTTAAAAAAAAAAAAAAGGCCATAGGAAATGGAGGTATGGCACAAGTAATAGCACCACAAGCATTACGCAAAAAATCCAACTGAGAACGTGAGGTTGAGTGATAAAAGAAAGTTCAGTCTCCCAAGTAACCTTCTTTGTGAGTTGAAATTGAAGTTTAAAACTTTAAGTTCAAAGTAAGTGGCATAAGTAATTAAAGAAAAACATACCTCAGAGTGGTCAGGTCTTACACAAACGCTGGTGTGCTTGCATACACATGCACTTGCACACACACACATACAGCTGTCTTCCAACGGAAGGGCCTTTCAATGGCTGAACTGCAAATCCTTGCGGTGATTCAATCCTCAGGGAGTAGAAGAAATTCAGTTTCATCTCCAACCCTGGCTGCTGCCAGCCGAGCCGGGAGATCACTTGTGCTGCCGCAAGAAGGATGAGGGAAAGTTAATTAGGAGATGGCATGAAAAGAGGCGTTTTATCACCAGGAATAAACTTAGGGAAATGACTGCTAAGTGTAAGTTATATTTCCCCTCCATCAGGTGGCATCCACCCAGCGGGCACTACCACTCACAGACGCTTAGCCCAGCCTGTCTGTGCCTCTGATTAGTAATAGGAAGGGGAAGCCGATGTGCTGGCCTCCATCAGAGGTCCAGGCGGAATGAGTGGGAACGCAGTCCACAGGGGACGGAAGTCGTGAGTTCGAAGGCTGCCATCTTGGATGCAAACCTCTCGTGTTGAATTTTGATTTTTTTTCAAATTTAACTTACTAATTTAGTCCTTTGTCCTGGGAGTTGCTCTAGGATAGGGTCTCTCTTGTGATACACTGTGACACTGACTTGTTTTTGTTTTTGTAATCCAAGTGGACATAGTTTCCTTAGTGTCTCCTAAATTTTATAAAAATTGGTCTTTTTCCCAGCAATCAAGGTCTCTATCACATTCAGATCTTTCCAAAGTTGGCTTCTATTAAAAGTTTTTAATTTTAATACTGACATCATTCCCTGGTTTACATCCTCCACCACAATGTACACCTCTGTGCACATTTATTGTCTCTTCTATTTTTTAAAACAGCTTCCCGAACATATTTCAGCATGGTTTTAATGCGCCTATCCCTCGTGCTTAGTGGTTTTACCATCTTTCCTTTACCCTAGTGGCCATTTTTACGTTATCTTTGGGACAGTATCTACTTGTATCTTTTGCCTCTTGTAAAACCAGAATGGTTGTTTGTTGCTATTGAGATATGTTATGTTTGGATACTAATTCCATATTGGATATACAGCTTGCTAATATTTTCCACCATTATATTAACATGCATTATAAATATTATAGTGAGGAAGGTTGTCTTCTCAGTTTGCTGAGTATTTCCACCGCTGTGTTGAATGTTTTCAGTTCACAGTAAGACTTCTTCTCATTTTGTATTTGTTTTTGTGCATGTATGCCATTCCTGGAGCTTGAACTCCAGGCCTGGGCACTGTCCCTGAGCTTTTTCACTCAAGGCTAGCATCTTACTACTGAAGCCACAGCTCTACTTCTGCCTTTTCTGATGATTAATTGGAGATAAAGAATCTCACAAACTTTCTTGTGTGGGCTGGCTTTGAACCGCCATCCTCAGATTTCAGCCTTTGGAGTAGCTTGGATTACAGGCGTGAACCACTGGCACTCAGCTCTATTTAATATGTTGTTGTTGCTTATTTTGTTGTGACAATTCCCGTACCCATAAGACCTTTCAGTAATGCTCACCCCATACCCTCCATTCCTCTCCCCTCTGTAAGAATCCTTGCCTATCCCTCTTTTGCTCATAAACCCCCCTTTTACTCGTACAAAGCATGACTTCTTCATGCGCGATATAAGCCTCTAGCAGCAGGAGACATGTTGAAGGTAGGGTGATCCCCACACATAGTGTGTGGCCTGTTCTAGTAGCTTCTAATGAGACGGGGGCAAGTCCTGTGTTCAATACACACACTTGGCAAAAATGTGTCCACATCTGTGCTGCCCATCTCTCATGGAGAAGGGAAAACACCTGAACCACCTTCTATCCACCACAGTGCTTAGAAACATTGGAGAGCCTTATAAAGGCTAGGAAGAGTGTACTAGATAAAATGGGGGTATTTTAGTAGGACGCCGGTGCCTCACGCCTGTCATCCTAGCTACTCAGGAGGCTGAGATCTGAGGATGACAGTTCAAAGCCAGCCTAGGCAGGAGAGTCTGTGAGACTCTTATCTCCAAGTAAACCCCAGAAAACTGGAAGTGGCACTGTGGCTCAAGTGGTAGAGCATTTGCCTTGATCTGAAGAGCTGAGGGACAGCACCCAGACCCAGAGTTCAAACCCCACAATGAACAACAACAAAAATAATAGTAATAAATAAAAAGAATACATAAAATGGGGGTATTTTTCACCCATTTCTCTTGCGTGTGTTTGTGGTTTTCTGTACCTGGAGTTTGATCACTCATGGCTTTGTTTGTTTGTGGTTTTCCGTACCTGCAGTTTGATTACTCATGGCTTTGGGACTCCTGCAATCTGTGCGGCCCTGAGCACGTTCCAGACCGTCCTCAGTGAAATGCTGAACTACTTGGAAAAACACACGACTCACAAAAACGGAAGCGCAGCGGATTCCGGCCAAGGACATGGTACCTCAGAGAAGGGTCCCCTGCGGAAGAGCTCAGAGGCCGCCATGAAAGAGGGAAAAACAGAAAAGACAGACTAGCTACATCAAACACAATCTATTCCAGACGGTCTTGCTGCTGATATTTTTTCTAGTCTATCTATCACTGAGGGCGACGGCTTTGCAGTGGACACAATCTCTCCCCTCCCTCGACCCCTCCATACAAAAAATAAAACAAAAAACAAAAAAAACCCCACATGGAAATGAAAAAGGAAACAAAAAAAAGGACAAATCCTCCCCTCGCCCCCCAAAAAATGAAAAAAAAAAGGAAAACAGCAGTGTTATTATGTGATGAAATTGTCACTTTTACTTTTAGGTCATGATCAACCGCTCTTGTGCACGTAGTTGATTGTTCTGAACTGTCCACACCACGGGTTTTCCGGGCCTGGCCTCGGGTGGGCGAGGCGGTTCACGTTCCCGCCCCACCCCCCCAGGCCGCATTGCAGTTAGGAATCAAGACAGCAGGGCGCCCACCCGGACTTGGCCAGCCGGGCTTCCGGCTTCCAGTCTTCAGTCTGGACTTCACTTCCTGTAACTGACCAGTGCCTCTTTGCTCTCAATAGACAGATCTGCAAATGAATCCATTAATAAATGTTTGGGGAAATTGAGAAGGGCAATCCTGACATATTTTTTTTTAATCCTGTGAACTGATAGAGGTTCTCGATGATGGCTATTCCTAAATAACTTAACTCCCAGTGCCTGGGATGGTAAGGTTAGCTACCCCCCCTGTCCCCCCTCTCCCCCCCACCCCACCCGTGTCCAAGTCCCTTCTCTCCTGGTTCACTTAGGCCCCTGACAGCTAAGGAGATTATTTAGAAGGCATGCCCTTAGAAGGAAGGACAGAAGAGTCTTCTGTCGAGTCTACACCATCAACCTAACAGTTGGTGTAGCCCTTCTGTGAGGGTCAGGGTAGATGGCTACTGAAGGGGGTTCTCTTGACAGAGTTGGGCTCCTGGTGAATGCAGTGACATTGTTTGGTCCAGAAAAGAATGGACGCGGGAGCCATGACTATGGTTTTGCCTCTGAAGCACTGATTGCCAGTGACTGTGGCTGGAACGGGAGCCGGTTCTGTTCTATTGCTGGGCTGCTTCTACCTGCTCTTGAATTGTGTCCCACACACAAAAGTGTTCAGGCATGGTTCAATAAAACAAACACACACACACACAACAGATGGATCAGAGAAGGCTTTCACTTTTAAGATGCTTTTTCTTATAACTTCAGTGACCCTGAGTTAAGATGCAGAAAACAAGAGATTCCTAGCTGCAAAGACCAGGGCGAATGGAATGAAGTTTGGGTTTATGTAATACTGTATGTATCCAGAAACCACATTGTGCTAACCTGATTATTTTCAGGCTTCTAAGTAGACAATTAAACACATAAATCATCATGTTAAAAAATGAATTTTAATCATGTGTGGGCTCCCCGCACTTAGATGAGCATGAAGGTATTTTCCTCTCATTAGCATATTTCAATTCCTTTAAAAACCTTGTCATATTCTAACTTCATCGAGGAGTAGTACATTTAAACGGGAGGAATTAGCTCAAAAACGTCTGCGTCAATTTCATACAAAAATATTTTTTTAACCTGGCAATTCTCATAATCATCTGACTTTTACCTTGAATTTTGTAAAGAGAAGTATCACATTCAATGACAACCTAAGTTTTCTCTCTTGGTGAAGAAATTCCTTGGTGAAGAGTTTCGGTGGGTTGTTTTTTTCAGATTGTTACGCAATGGAAGAGCTTGAAATAAAGCAAAGTAAAAGTCATGAGTGATGATTTCATGGGGCCAACTCCCTTTTGAAAATTTTACCATTGTTCATGGCTTTGCATTTAAAAAAAATTCAATAGAATAAAGCCAACATTGTCCTGCAGCTCCAAGTCTTCACAAAATAAACGATTCCATCCTACATCCAATTTCCCATGATGTAAAATATACACATGAAACGAAAGTGATGAACAATTCAGCTTAATAAGTAGTAGGAAAGTGGTATGCAGAGTATGCAGACTCTTCTTTCCTCAATTAGTCTGCACACCAACTTCCTTTCATTCCATTTGTCATGAACAGTTACATATGTATTTACTATGAAATTGAGATGCATATCTGCTCGGTACCTAATGTAGTTATTTGCCATGTCAAATGTTCACCAGTATTCAAATGAAAAAAAAAATTAGATCTGGCTTATATTCCTGGCTTTCTTCCTCACCTTTAGTTGTGACTAGTTTGGGTTCTAAACCCCTCCACGGGGTGCTGTTACTTGTTAGCCTTGAAACAGAAGTATGACTATCCAGTACATATTGTTCACCAAGATGGTGGGTGCTTTAAAAACCTTTGACAGCACCTCTCTCCTAACTTACCAGCCACAAGAGCATAAACGAGTGGATGGACTGGTCCTGTTTAGAATCACCATTTATTTATTCGAATAGAAATTGTTAATACCAACTTTTGGCTTGTATATAATAGGTTCTCAATACTTTTTAAATAAATGAATTAATGCATGTGTGCTTGTTCTTTGTCCAAAATGGGCCCGAGGACGCAGCCGTTCCAACTTTTCCTTTCTGTACTCGTGCGTGGATAATTCTATCTGAATAAGGAAATATTTTCACAATATCCCATTCAATGGAAAGAGACATATTTAACGTAGCCCAATAAAGAAAACTAGTAGATGGAAGAATGTCAACAAGGAATTACAGCAATTCTCCTTCCCGTGGTTTAGAATGAAGAAAGAAAACGAACAGAATCTTCTCTCTGATTCCGTTCAGTGCTGTAATAATAAAAGAATGAAAAAGTTTTTTCCGATGGATGACTACTTGGACAAAACATGCACAATCTTGGTGTGTTTACCAAGACAGATGATGATGTGACAAACTCCAGTGAAGGAGCAAGTTGGATTTCCATAAAAACAAAATGGATGTTTCCAGAATCGCCTTAAAGGCCACTCTCACTAATTTCTTCGAGTTACCATTTGATTCAAATTTGGTGGTTCCAGGGAGGGGGAAAAAATGCAAACTCTGACTTTCTCCACATTTTTGCCACTTGCTAGTGCTCACTCCACCCTGCTTCCTCTCTCGGTCGTGCTCGAGGAAGGCGGTGTGTCCTGCTTTCCCGGTTGCTTTCCACTCCTTCCCCATTAAGCTCTCTTCAATGAGCAGAAAAGAGCGTGGTCCTGGCATGTGGGTCTGAGAGGGATGCCGAGAGCTAGACCTCTGCTGCCTGGTGCTGTCCCCGTGTGTGGCCATGGGTTACCCATAGAAAGAACAAAGAAAATAATATAGAATCCATTTTTCTTATAACGTCTTTCTTTTAGGCCTTTTTGGAAGCATCTTAGACTATTGGATTCCCTCTCTGTCTCCCACTGGAACCACTCTACCAGTTCCAATGGACAGACCTCTTCCCCCCCCCCCCCCCCCCCTGAACTGGGGCTTGAACTCTGGGCCTGGGCACTGTCTCCGAGCTTCTTTTACTCAATGTGAGCACAGCGCCACTTCCGACTCTTTTGAGGAGTAGTTGATTGGAGATAAGAGTCTCATGGACTTTCCTTCCTTGGGCTGGCTTTGAACTGCAATCTTCAGATCTCAACCTCTTGAGTAGCGAGGATGACAGGCCTGAGCCACTAGTACCTGCTAATGGACCTTTTTTTAATGTATCAAAAATCCTTTATATAGTTCAGGAGGCTGAGATCTATGGGTTATGGTTTGAAGCCAGTCTGAACAGGAAAGTCCGTGAGACTCTTCAAGTAATCCCCAAAGAGCCAGAAGCTGAGCTGTTGCTCAAGTGGTACTTTGCTAGTCTTGAGTGAAAAGGCTCAAGAACAGTGCCCACTGTATTCAAGCCCCAGGACTGGCACATACACACACAGAATCCTTTATACAAGGAAGGTACTTCTCTTGTAATATGTAATACGTGAGAGGAGGCAAGGCTTTGAGGGTTACAGGGAAATACAATCCACAGCCAAACCTCCTGGATTCAAATTTGGTTCTTTCAGTTGTTACTGTGTGACCTTGAGCACTGACCTTCTCTATGTCTCTCCAGGTCACCATCTGCAAGGTAAGGATTGTAGTAGATGTTTACTCAGAATTAGTGTCAGATCAGAGCTACTGTCTCCCAACTACTTAGATTCTAACAGGACAGGTATTGCCTTCAGTTCTGAGAGCTGATTTTCTACCTGGAGACCTGTTTCTCCTGCATTTCCATATCAGATTCCAGCCTGGCGCCTGAGGAGGAACAGGACACAGGACCTTTTCCTTGCTCTGAAGCTTCGTGGCCCAGGAGGGAACAGATTGAGGAAGAAGAGGGAAATCAAGGGACACTGGAGTTCCGGGAGTGCCCAGAACACTAGGGCAAGAGGCTGGCTTGAAAAGGGGCAGGCAGATGCATCTTTGTGTTTCTTGTTCAACCCTCCTCCCCTATCTTAGAGTAGAGAACAGTTTCCCTGCATGGAAATGTGGCAAGAAATGTGACTCAATAGGCTGCAGGACACAAGAGTCAAACACTGATCCACACTCTCATCTTGGAGGGCCGAGGATGGGCCTCACGGTGGACCATTTGTCCAAGATGTGGAAGACTAAATCCAGTCCCCGGCAGCGCTGCGACTATGGTGGGGGTTCCCAAGAAGGACAGGTGCTTTAATAACAGGTCAGTCCGTCTTTTCTTTCCATATCCATGCATGTTTGCATGCAGGTGTGCATGCCCACAATGCATGTACACACACACACACACATCCATGAGACCAGAGAATACCTACCCCCACGTGTATGGAAAGAAAGAGAAAAATAAGAGAACTTAACCAAATTAACTATCGTTACACCTCTGAGATGAGGCTGCCTCTCACAGCAGAGGAACAAAGCACTTGTCCCGGAGGACCAACTGGGAAGGAAGAAAACCCTTCTGCACAATGCAGACGCAGAAGTACTGGTGTGTGGGTCCAGGCAGGAGGGTCTTACATTCAAACCCCACTCCCCCCTCTCCCAGGCAAGGGGCCTGTCCGTCAGGATGGTACAGACACGACAGGAATACTAGGCTCTTGTTACTTGGTCACGCCTCTCCCCATAGCCTCATTCAAAGCTGATCAAAAGCCGGGCGCCGGTGGCTCACGCCTGTCATCCTAGCTACTCGGGAGGCTGAGAGCTGAGGATCGCAGTTCAAAGCCAGCCTGGGCAGAAAGTCCGTGAGACTCTCATCTCCAATAAACTACTGAATAAAAGCCGGAAGTGGTGCTGTGGTTCAAGTGGTAGAGCG